ATTTTTGTCCTATTTATTTATTTATTTATTTATTTTGATAGGATGTTTAAGTTTGTTTAATACAAATAGTACACTAATGCACATAAGTTTATTTAATGGGCAAAGTAATTTACGAATGGGCTAGGCATCTCTCTGGTCCGAGATTAGATTGCAGCTTGTTATTAGGTCGGTGAGGGCTCATCGTAGATTTTTTTTCGATAATTTAAATTGTTCAATGTGTAAAATTTATTGACTAATTTATCCCTATAAAACATCACGTTGATCAGATATCAATAATTACTTAATCGGAATAGATTTCTGTTAATGATAAATATAATTTTCAAAATAAATTGTTGACAAAAATTGATCCGATCAAGTAGCTATCGATATCCGATCAATATGATTTTTAACAAGGATAAAGTACTCGAAAAATTCAACATATTGAACGGTTCGAATTATCAAAATATAACCCATGGTAGGCCCCATAGATACAGCAGTACCATCCAGTCCAAGCCTAACTCTTTACAAAATATAGTAAGAAAAAATGTCATCTTACTAATATTGGGCTATTTGATGCTACTTTTTGTATGTTGAAAAAACAATATTAATAATCAAAAAGTAAAAATTAAAAGCATCTTATCCCTAACTTTTAGATAATTATTATTATTACTATTTTTAACTTGTTGAATCTATTTCCAAGGCTAGCCAAAGGTTATTGGGCACTAGGGGAAGTTTTAAAATTGAACCCATACATAAAAAATAAAATAAAATGTGGTTGGATAGAATGATATATTCTTGTTATTATACCTGCAAAAATTTTACATATATATAATCACTAAAATTATAATTATACCTACAAAAATTTTACATATATATAATCACTAAAATTATAAAATAAATTTACTTATATAGATCAAGACATGAACAAATCATTACAACTAGAAAAAGATACAAATATAGCCATGTTGTTTCATGATTTAACAAAATTTAGGTTCCCAAAAAAAATGTATAAAAAAAAATAAGAAAAACATAAATAAAATATCCACTTATAATACAAAATAAAAAATTAAACCAACTACAACAACGAAGTATTAATTAAATATTACTCTTATTATATTTTTATATGCAAATTGCTAATTAAGCATTGAATTCCTATTTTTTAACCTACCAATGTTATAATAATTAAAATTAGTTGAGAGTAAGGCTGAGAATTTTCTATACCACTTGTGAGAAAATTTTAATCTCGTCATACATTTAAAAGTGAAAGTTTTAAAATAGATAAATAAATAAAAATAGATAAGTAAATAAATAAAAATAGATAAGTTTTAATTAAAAGTGAAAGTTCCAACGTAACACATTGACTGGATATGAACTAAATTACACGATATGATAATATGAAAAATAGGTAAATATAGTTAATATTAAGGTAATTCTAGTAAGAACCTGAAATAAAACGACATGATACTCAGGTTTGATGTGAGAAAGAGTAAACAATTGAACAAAAACTCTTAAAATTACAATAATAATAATAATAAGTAAAGCTGAGAAAAAAAATCAAAAAAACTGCAAACCAATCTGACTCGGACCAAAATCGTATAGTTTTGTCTATTTTTTCAATGCACTATTCGGTCCTAATGATTTTATAGTTGCGAATCTGATTTAGAACCGAACTAGACCATTTAGATATATACACATATATATAGTTTGTTAGTTATCATAAACACTCAAATATCTTATTAATGTCAAATATATAAATATGCTGTAATTGCTTACTTTGGTAAATTTATTTTTATATAAGTTGTAAACAATTACCTAAATAATTCTGAGGTTGTAAACAAATATTTTGCGGTCATGTTATGAATGATGACAATATTTCTAAAAATCATAGTTCTAAATCGAATTGAACTGCAATTTACTAGTTTAGTCTAATTTCATTACAAGATTTTTATAATTTAATTTGATTTCAGATCTCATAAAATCATAAGAAATAATTTAATCCTAATTATAAGAAGGTTATACACCAAACATCCTTTATCAGGCTTATTTTGGGAAGTATGATAAAAGTTAGTTTTTCGACTTTTTTTTAGTTTTTTTAGTTTTTTTTTTTTTTAAATATAGAGGTGATATAACTCAAAGAAGTCAAAAGACAAAAAACCGATTTTTAACCCAAATGCCAAAATAGACAATTGGTTGTGTGGGAAGGAATCAAGGTGGTTGGTTTGGTTGATTATACCCAAGTTGACACCTTATTCCATTTCATGTGTAAGGTGTAAATTTTTTAGGGAATAAAAGTGAAATTTAACCCTTTTCATATAATTTCTCAAGATTCAAACGAACTAGAAAAATAACATGACAGATCTGTTTTGTGCAACAAAATTAAACAACCTGAGAATGATCTCTATATAATTCACAACATAATTTTGGAAATCGCTAAAATTATATACTAAATTTACTTATATAGATCAAGACATGAACAAATCATTACAAATAAAAAAGATAAAAATATGTCCTTGTTGTTTCATGATTTAACAAAATTTAGATTCCAAAAAAATATATATATATAAAAAAATAAGAAAAAAACAAATAAATATCAACTTATAATACAAAATAAAAAATTAAACCAACTACAACAACGAAGTATTAATTAAATATTACTCTTATTATATTTTTATGTGCAAATTGCTATAACAGTTAAAATTAGTTGAGAGTAAGGCTAAGAATTTTCTATACAATTCGTGAGAAAATTTTAATCTCGTCGTACATTTGGTATTTTTAATTAAAAGTGAGAGTTTTGACATAGCATAATAACTAGATAACAACTAAATTACATGATATGATAATATGAAAAATAGTAAATGAAGTTAATATTGAGGTAATTCTATCAAGAACCTGAAATAAAACATCACATACTTGTACTTGGAATATATAAATTTTGTTCAAATTTGGAGGTTTGAGGTGAGAAAGGGCAAACAATTGGTCAAAAACTCTTAAAATTACAAAAATAATAATAAGTAGGCTGAGCAAAAAAATTAAAAAAAATTACAAACCAATCTGACTTGGACCAAAATCTTATGATTTGGTCTATTTTTTCAATGCACTATTCGGTCATAATTCTTAAAATAGATGAATTGTACTTCGTGGTTCAATCTATAGTTTTATAGTTATGAATTCAGTTTAGAACCAAATTGGACCGTTTAAATAAATATATATATATATATATATAATTTGTTAGTTATCGTAAACACTCAAATATTTTATTAGTGTCAAATATATACATTTGTTGTAATTTTTAACTTTTGTAAATTTATTTTTATATGAAGAATTACCTAAATAGTTCTTAAGTTATAAATAATATTTTATGATCATGTTTATGAATGATAACAACATTTTTAACTGAACTGCAATTTACAGGTTTAGTTTAGTTTAATTATAAGATTTTTATAATTTAATTTAATTTTACATTCATGAAAATATAAGTAATAATAATCTTGATTTACTATTAAACCGAATCAATTTCAACCATATGCTCATCCTAATTATACGACAAGGGGTTGTGTGGGAAGCACTCAAGGTGGTTGGTTAGACAGACCTAATTATACCCAAGTTGACATCTATGAGACTCCGCCACAAGGAGAAATTATAGACTACTTTGGAAATATTTCGTATTGATTTGTGTTTGTAGAGTAGTTTTTGAGATAAAAAGTATAAAAATTTATTTAGTTTGTCTTTTTTCAAAAATAGTTTTGAAAAATTGTTTTGGGAAGAGAGTTTTAAAAAAAGTGATTGATTTGATGTGTATAAGAGAGAATGATTTTGGAAAGTAGATAACCAAACAAAATTTTGAGATTTTTTTTGAAAAAATTTGTTTGGTTTGATTACTCTTGAAAATTTATTTGTAGAGAATTTTTTTCAAATTTTTTTTTGAAAAACAAACCAAACAAGCCCTTCGTATCTGAATTTTTAATTAATTATAATTTATTTTATTTTTTTATATTTCCCAATCACTTAGCCAGGATTGGCAAGTCTCAAAAAATTTAAAAAATCAAAAAATTACACAAAAAATAAAAAAGTCATTACTATTCACATATTCACTAAAAACAAAAGAATACGAAAACCAAAAAACTCAGTTTTCAAAAAACTTAATCCAGAAAACTCAAACCAAACACACTGATTACTATTCACAAATAAAAAATATTAAAATAGTATTTTATACATTTTTATAATACAAAAGTTTGAATTACACTATCAAAAGTACTGCCCCAGCAAGAAGGCACGTCATACACTTTTTGGGCAAAAAAAAAAATTACATATGTAAAGCCACAAAGGTTGATAGTAATGTTGGGCCCTTGGGAGCCCACTAAGGGTTTCGTTTTGATAATTCGAACCATTCAATATGTAAAACTTGTTGAGTACTATATGCTTGTAAAAAATCACATTAATCGGATATCGTTAACTATATGATCAACTTAGTTTTGTATAAACAAAACGGATGGTGTGATAATTAACTATTGAAAAAAAACTAATCCGATTATATAGCTATCGATATTCGATCAACGTGATTTTTTATAGGTATATAATACTCAACGATTTGTACATATTGAACGGTTTAGATTATTAAAATAGAATCTATGGTGAGCCCCACGGACCAACCATCATTGTCCAAACACTTTGCCCCGAAAGAGGCAATAATTTGCTAGTAAGACACGCTACCCAGCAGGGCAGCCGTACAACCTACTCAACTTTCTTTCCCTATATAATTTTTTATTACATATTTTTTTGTAAAAAGGCAAAAAAATTAACTCAAACATCCATATTTTTTCCTTCAACTTTTTTGTCTAAAAAAATAAAAAATACACACCCCAAATAACCCCTTAATATAATATTTTATTCACTCATATTCTTTATCAATCATAATATTATAAAATATTACATGTCTATATTTTAAAATTATTGAATAATTATTCGTCCAAGGGCACTTTCGTAATTCAGAACATCAACTATTTCAAAACGACTGCCATATATTCATATTCTTACTGGCTTGACATGTGAGGTATGAACAGGACCAAAAACTGAAAAGCCCTGTCTCTGTATGTGTGTGTATATATATATAGTTCACACACTGTTTTAGTCGAGAACTTTCTTGAATAAACTCTTCGCAGCGTAACAATTTCTTCACAGGTTAGTAATTTGTTTACTTTTTTTAATAATTTTTTTTTGAAATGGTGTTGTTATTGATTGATTAGTTTAGTATTTGATCGCCTTAATTAGTTATATTTGCCTGTTAGGACTTGTTAATCTGCAATGTATACAAAATCGAAGTGTTTGTCTTCAGCCTGGGTGTTCTTTTTTCATGGAATAAAAAAAAATTCGATCTCGATCTGGGTATTCAATTATTTGAACCCTAGATCATTTCCAAAATTATGTTGTGAACTATACAGAGATCATCTTCTCTGGTTGTTTAATTTTGTTGCATGAAAAAGATCTGTCATGTTATTTTTCTGTTTCGTTTGATTCTTGAGAAATTATTATAATAAAAAAAGGATTAATTTCACTTGTATTACCTAAAATATAGCCAAAATTTATTTTATTTTAAGAAGCCGCTATTTCCACTCTAGTTTACTCCAAATGCACTCCATGCCTTTTTCTTATTCTACATAGTTACATAATTACATTAATACATTTTTTTACTTTTGTACATATACCTCAATTATTGAACGATTTTAGTAATTATGTATAATAAGGACAAAGAATGGAGTGTATTTGGAGCAAAGTGGAGTGGGAATAGCGGTTTCCTTATTTTATTCCTAAACTAGTTTAATTTTTATTTAGGCCTCGTTTGGAAAAGCTTTAGTAACTTTTTGGCTTTTTGGCTAAAATATTATGTAAAAAAAACTAGTATGTTTGGGATTACTTTTTGATTTTTTACGAAAAGATGTGCAAATAGTAGAGAGAAAAAGGGAATCTTTGACTTTTTAGTATAGGTTGGCAGTTTTTGGTTTTTTTAGCAACTTTTTGGCTTTTAGGCTAAAAAGTGATGTTACCAAACGAGGCCTAGTCCCTAAAGTTTTTAATTTCAGATAAAGGGCAAAAAGGTCATTTTAAAATTTTTAACAATTTAAACCATATTATTAAACCCTAATTTATTTATTTATTGTTTTGAAATGAGGAGTGGCGAAGAAGATGGTGGGTGTTTGGTTGTAGTTTGTAAGTTCTCTAATATAGCGTGAGTAAGAAGATAGGTGTTTGTGAAATTAGAAACTTCATGGACTAAACTAGATGAAATGGATAGTATAGTGATGAAGTAGAAAAAATGACAATAGTTCAAGGGATAAAAGTGAAATTAACCCTATATTTAAAAGAAAAGAAAATTTGTTATATTTAATTCTCACTCACTACCACCATTTGATCACACCTTTTCAAAAATTCATAGAATTCCTTCATTTTCTGTCATCTTCTTGGCAATTACATGGAATATTACATTATAGTGATTCTTGATTCCTGGCTATTGTTACTGCAAATGGTGTCATGAGATAATTGACTTATGGTTGTTCTTCTAACTATTACCCATATTGAACGATAATTTGCTGGATGTGCATCCAGTTTGTTGTCATCCTTTTGATTGTCAGTGGTTGCAAAATCACAGTTGGCTAGGGAAGTTTGTCTTTTCATTACAGAGTTTCTGTTGGATGGATAAAAGGAGATTTTTACCGTTACATTATGCATTAAAGTATCACAACAATAGTTCTTTTGGTAAATGCCCTATCTGGGAAGCGGTATCTGCTGGGGATTATGATAGACTTTAGTCAAATAAAAAATAAGAAAGATGGAATGAGGCTTTCATTGTGTGAAGCTACGCTAATAGCATATTGTATTCTATAGCAATTTCAATTCCAAATCATGTGAGGAACAGATATATTGGATCTAATTTTGCTTTGAAATTCCATACTTGCTGTTGATATTTAAATCCATTTTTTGTAAAAGCATGTTCTTCATGTTTAACATCCTTTTTTTTTTTTAATTTTTTTTTTTTAATGCATTCTTAACATGACACGGGATTTACTTCTTTCTTCAACCAGATCAGAAAGATATGGATTCGGGTGCATTTACTGTCGAAGTTATAGGTCTGCCCCCTGAAGCAACAGAGAAGGATGTCTATGATTTCTTTGCCTTCTGTGGGACGATTGAACATGTTGACATTGTCAGGTGATATGAGAAACATAATAAATTTAGAATTTTTTATGTATTTGATGATTGATTTATTTATTTATTTCCCCATAACTTTCATTCACATCTTATATTTGTCTTTGTGTCACAGTGAGAATTTCATGGCTTCTTTGTTGACTTTGTTTTTAATAGAGAAAGTAGTGATGATTTTCTGTTGCCGTTGTTGTCACGTTATTACAATTTGATTGTTGGATATTAACATATCTTTCATCTTTTGCAATTTTCTGTACACAAGGCAAATCTAGACATTTCTTAAGGAAAGATTTAGTGGCCGAAGTTTCATTTACTGTACTGTTATTGGTAGTTTTTTGAAGTTTCATCAGACAATGTGTTTCCACATAAATTTATCCTGATAAATAATTGGCTGTTTTCATCTTGTATTAGAACTTTTTAATGCCTTAACAAACTTGTACTAGATTTTTTAATGACATCATAATCCAGTGAAGTGCAATTACCTTACCATGGTGTGTCACACACACACATGCAGAGATAGCTTGTTTCCTTTATGGGGTTTTTAACAAAAAAATCGTATATATAAAACTTGTACCATATTGAGTCCAAAAAATATTGTACAAACCCTAAAAGGCCTCTAGCTATTCAAAAGGCAAAAAACCACAGCTTTTATATGTGGTGCTAAAAATGACAATGAAATAAACCATATTTGTTATAGTACACCATTTGGAATTTTTTTCTTTCTTACTTATATATATATATATATATATTATGAAATAGTGTGAATTGCTCTGTAGGTGTGAATAAAATAGTGCAAATTGCTGTGTGAAACACTATGACATTTTTAAAGCACTCAATAAGAAGTGTGAACATTCCCATCCAATAATAATCATCCATTAGCTAGTTTGAATATTCTTATTTTCTTATTCTGAAAAATACAAAAGTCATTCGATAAAAAATTGTGAGCTTTCACACTGAAAATACAAAAATCACCTGTAAAAAATTTGTTGGGTGAGGAGAGGGGAGAAAAGGTGATAAACTATTGGTTTAGTGTGAGAGGATAAGTTCCAAGAAAATGTGTGTGAAGAACAGAGGAGTGCTACCTTAGAAGTTTTATTTCTAAAAAATGGATGCTCTTCTCGATAATTCAATACAGCCAAGAAACAAACACAATAAATGATGTAACAAAGCAAGAACAAATGAATAAGGAATCAATTTTACCAATTTAGAAATTGATGGATATGCTTCCCAACCAATAAAGGAGGTTGTGGCGTGACAATACATAGCATTTAAGACAAAGGGTAAAACAACCATAATCTAAAAAATGGATGCTCTTCTCGATAATTCAATACAGCCAGGAAACAAACACAATAAATGATGTAACAAAGCAAGAACAAATGAATAAGGAATCAATTTTACCAATTTAGAAATTGATGGATATGCTTCCCAACCAATAAAGGAGGTTGTGGCGTGACAATACATAGCATTTAAGACAAAGGGTAAAACAACCATAATCTAAAAAATGGATGCTCTTCTCGATAATTCAATACAGCCAGGAAACAAACACAATAAATGATGTAACAAAGCAAGAACAAATGAATAAGGAATCAATTTTACCAATTTAGAAATTGATGGATATGCTTCCCAACCAATAAAGGAGGTTGTGGCGTGACAATACATAGCATTTAAGACAAAGGGTAAAACAACCATAATCTAAAAAATGGATGCTCTTCTCGATAATTCAATACAGCCAGGAAACAAACACAATAAATGATGTAACAAAGCAAGAACAAATGAATAAGGAATCAATTTTACCAATTTAGAAATTGATGGATATGCTTCCCAACCAATAAAGGAGGTTGTGGCGTGACAATACATAGCATTTAAGACAAAGGGTAAAACAACCATAATCTAAAAAATGGATGCTCTTCTCGATAATTCAATACAGCCAGGAAACAAACACAATAAATGATGTAACAAAGCAAGAACAAATGAATAAGGAATCAATTTTACCAATTTAGAAATTGATGGATATGCTTCCCAACCAATAAAGGAGGTTGTGGCGTGACAATACATAGCATTTAAGACAAAGGGTAAAACAACCATAATCTAAAAAATGGATGCTCTTCTCGATAATTCAATACAGCCAGGAAACAAACACAATAAATGATGTAACAAAGCAAGAACAAATGAATAAGGAATCAATTTTACCAATTTAGAAATTGATGGATATGCTTCCCAACCAATAAAGGAGGTTGTGGCGTGACAATACATAGCATTTAAGACAAAGGGTAAAACAACCATAATCTAAAAAATGGATGCTCTTCTCGATAATTCAATAGAGATCGAGGGAGACAGAAAAGAGAGAGAGATCGAGGGAGGAGAGAAGACAGAAAAGGAGAGAAGACAGAGAAGGAGAGAAAGAGATCAAGGGAGAGGAGAAGCTAACCTGTTCAGAAGCTAAGGAGAGGAGAAGCTAACTCGTGAGGTGGATCGAAGAAGCCCTAACTGAGGTATTCTTCTTCTTCTCTTCTTCTCCTTCTTCTCTGTCTCCATCATCTCTGTTCTTCTTCTCCTCTTCATTTTCGTCTTCTCCTCCTCCCTTTCGTCTCTCCCTTTTCTGATCTCTCTCCCTCTGCCTTTTTGACTTCACATTCTCTCTCCTCTATCGTTTCTCTTTTATATTTTTTTTTCTTCTCATTTTCTGGACTCAACATTTCTCTCTCCTCCCTCTTTTTTTTTTCTTTTTTCTTTTTTTTTTTCTTTATCCTTATTTTTATGTTAAACTTAAAATTCATAAAATAAATTATTTTTATTTAAAAAAACTCATTTTTTATTAATTTAAAAAAAATATATATTTATTAATTTTATTATTATTTTGATTGTATAAGAATTAATAATTTTATTTTTATTTTAGACATATAATAAATAAAGAAAATTATATATATTAAACGTATCCCCAGCGTGTCGTGTCCCCTATTTTTTGAAAAATTGTGTTTTTGCGTGTCCGTGTCGTGTCCCGTGTCCGTGTCCGTGCTATTAATTTTATTATTATTTTGATTGTATAAGAATTAATAATTTTATTTTTATTTTAGACATATAATAAATAAATAAAATTATATATATTAAACGTGTCCTCAGCGTGTCGTGTCTCCTATTTTTTGAAAAATTGCGTTTTCGCGTGTCCGTGTCGTGTCCGTGTCCGTGCAACATAGCTTAGAAGTTTTATTTCTAAAAAATGGATGCTCTTCTTGATAATTCAATACAGCCAAGAAACAAACACGATAAATGATGTAACAAAGCAAGAACAAATGAATAAGGAATCAATTTTACCAATTTAGAAATTGATGGACATGCTTCCCAACCAAGAAAGGAGGTTGTGGCGTGACAATACATAGCATTTAAGACAAAGGATAAAACAACCATAAATGACCTTAAAATTTAAATATAGGTCTCGTGAATGATCAAAACATTCATTTAGTGTGGGACTTAGGGGTGGTTTGGGATGTTCTAAATAAGTGCACTTTTTGACTTTTTATGAAGTATGGGTTGGGTTTGGGTTGGATTTGAAGTGATGTAGTGGAGAGGTGATGTGATTTAAATAAGATGATGTGACTTAAATAGGATAGTAACTTTTTGACTTTTTGACTTTTTTAGTACATGACAAACATGGCCTTAAGGGGTAAATAGACTTGATGTGGGATTTATTTGAAAACAATATCATATAATGGGAATTTCCACCAATTTTCCCGCCCTTTTTTTTTTATTATTTTTTCCCCTTTCATTCTGTTTTGCTACCAGTCTAATGCTATGGATCTTATGAGGTTTTCTTGAATATTCTAGGGTAAATTACATTTCGCACCCCTGCACTTTGCACCAATCTTACTTTGCTCCTTACACATGAAATTTGTGATAGTCAACCTGCTGCACTTCTGGTTAAGTGTCAATGTCCTCATTTTGTTTCTCTATTGTTTAAATCTTTAACAGAATCTAGTCATGTGATAAGCATATGACTACAAAATGAGGGTAAAGTAAGAAAATTACCCTTGTTTCCCGCCATTTCATCCCCAAATTTACATTAAATTATGACTGTATTAAGCTAAATTAAAACACAGATTGTGAATGATTAATGCGATGAACTAGGGTTCTGCAAAAATTAGAATCACGAAACTCTATTTTCCATAGTAACACAGACTTCCGTATATTCCTCTTTCTTTCTCTTTAATTTCTCTATTGCATGTTTGATTTTAGATGCTCTATTTTCTTACATTCTCGTCCCTATTTTCAACACATGAACATATATATATATTGTATTACATAACTCTCACATGCTTTTCATGTGGGACAAAGTGTGTATTGATGGGAAATGAGGAAGATTTTCATCTCTTGTCATCATTTTGTAGTTACATGCTTGTCATATGATTGGATTCTGTTAACAATGGAGTAACAAAAAGGGGGCATTGACATTTGATCAGAAATGCAAGGGGAACTTGACTGTTAAAGTGGGATTTTGTCCAAAGTGCAGGGTGCAAAGTGTAATTTACCCAATATTCTATTATGGGTGAAGCGTAGACATAAAAGGAGTGTGGTAATTTAAAAGGGCACCACTTCAAGTATTAATCAATGTGTTTGGTTTGAGTTTTTTGGATTAAATTTTTTTAAAATTGAGTTTTTTGGTTTTCGTATTTTTTTATTTTTAGTAAATATTTTTAAAATTTTAAACATTTTTTGTACTTTTTTAGATGCACCTTACTTAGATGTATCTAAAAAGTTAAAAATTTGTGAAAAAATATTTTAAAAAATTAATAAATACATAAACATATAAAAAAATGTATTGAATTCTCGTATTGTTTTTGTATTTTTGGTATTTAGTAAATTTTTGAAAGGTTTTTTTCACAAATTTTTTACTTTGTAGGTATATTTATGTTAAGTGTGTCTAAAAGTAAAAAAACTTGCTTAAAATATTAAAAAAATTCAGTAAAAACAAAAAAACACAGAAAATAAGAAAGTAGAATTTTCTGAAAAATGTTTTTGAAAAAATGGAACAAAGCAAATTGAATGATATTTCACCTACTAAAAAATGGTATTGAGGAAATATTGTCGGCCATTGCTAAGAGTAGTCAATCCCAAATCCAAACCATGGTGTGAAAAAAATACCCTTCAAATGTTTTAATTGAGCCTTTTTTATTTTTGTTATCCGACAGAATTTTTTTTTTCTTTTTTTTCCCTTCCTCTTTTGTTTTCTCTTGTGAAAGTTGTGGATAACTTCTCCTTTATAGATTATTCGTGGTCAGATGTTTTTGAGAACAACTGAAGTCGCGGTTCTTCATATGATTATGAAATATAGTTTGGTAAACAACATTGGGTTGTTGCACATTACCCCCTTTGATTTGAATATATGCCGACACCTCCCTGTAATTTTGGATTGATATGCAACTGTTACCTTTTTCATCCAAACAAACAAGAGGTGTGGTCCACGCGCCCAATGCGCATGTATGGCTCTGTTTGATGATTTTTCCTCCAAAAATGATTTGTCCAAAAGACCAAAATGACCTTAGCCTTCACTATGTAAGAAAATGAAGTCAAATGACTTGTTATTACTCACCAAAATTGTCCCATTGAAGTGGAAAACATCCTACCGCCTCTCTTTTTTTTTTCTTTTTCTTTTTTTTACTTTTTTCATATGTTTAATTTTCTTTCTATTCTATTGTGCTAGTTGCATCTCTTATTTATTTATTTATTTTATTCTTTTGATTTGTTTAATTTTTCTTCTACTCTATTATGCTAATGACAGTCTTTTTTTTCTTTTTTCCTTTTTAGTTTTATTGTTTAGTTTTATTTTTTTTATTACCTTATTTAATAATATTTTAAATTAAAGATACATATACTTATATGTTAGCAAATTAAATTATAAATTAACCTAACTACCTTAATTTATTGTCATAAATTATCTTAATTAAGTTCAAATTTTTAACTTAATTTCTTATTTAATAACATTTTAAATTATATATACAAATATATAATTAACCCATAAATTAATCGAAACACCTTTATTACCATAAAATCAAATCATAAAATTTAAAATTAAAACTTAAAAAAGAGAGGCAACCAGTAGATATTGCAATGTTCCTAACAAATTGCACAATATAGTAGAAACAAAATTAAACAAATCAACAAAAAAATAAAATGAAAATAAAAAATAAAAGAGTTAGGTGTTTGTATATATAATTTAAAATGTTATTAAATAAGAAATGAAGTTAAAAATTAGTAGTTAATTAAGGTAATTTTATGAAAATAAATTAGGGCAGTTAGATTAATTTATAAAGGAAAATTTACCCATAAGTCTTAGTTTCTGAAAAGTTGAACCATTTAGTCCTAAAAGTTTTCTTATGTGCACAATATAGTAGAAACAAAATTAAACAAATCAACAAAAAAATAAAATTAAAATAAAAAATAAAAAAGTTAGGTGTTTGTATATATAATTTAAAATGTTATTAAATAAGAAATGAAGCTAAAAATTAATAGTTAATTAAGGTAATTTTATGAAAATAAATTAAGGCAGTTAGATTAATTTATAATTTATATATGTATTTATTTATGGAAAAATTAGTCTAGGGTCCCTCTCCCACTTTTCATTATGGAAGAGATCCACAAATTTATTTTTTGATGTCTAAGGTCCCTGAACATATATCAGAGAAATTTGATTCTTTCTCTCTCTCTTTCTCTCTGTCTATCTTCCTTATTTTGATCACCACCACCAGACGCCCTTCTTTCTTCGACTTTTAAGATAATTTTATGATAATAAATAAAGGCAGTAAGATTAATTTATAATTTATATAGGCATATCTTTAATTTAAAATATTATTAAATAAGGTAATTTTATGGTAATAAATTAGGGTGCTTAGTTTAATTTATGATTTAATTTTTTCTCATATTTAAAATGTTATTAAATAAAAAAAGTGGGTTAAAAATTAAAAAATAGATTAAAGTAATTTTATGATTTGATTTTATGGTAATAAATGTGTTTAGATTAATTTATGTTTTAATTATATACAAATATATTTTTATATATAATTTAAAATGTTATTAAAAAGGAAATTAACTTAAAAATTCATTAAGGTAATTTTATGATAATAGATTACGGTGATTACGTTAATTTATGATTTAATTTGTTAAATATGTGATTAATATAGAAAGTTAAATGTATTAGAGAAGAGACAAAAAATAGCCTTTTATGTAAGGGTAAATTAGTCTTTTTAACATTAACTGTTAACAGTGCTATGGTTGCACATTAGTCCAAAACCATGGTGGAGGTATCTGCATATATTCAAACTATAGGTGGGTAAAATGCTTTAGCGTCAAACCACAAGGGGGTAAAGTACTTTTTACCCAATATAATTTAAGAAAGACAACAAGAGTGGGGAGGAAGACACAATATGGTGCTGAAGACAAAATTCTACACTGGGGGAGAAGAGGAGTGTCTATTCATAATACAAGTTAGGTATATTCTGTGGCATATATGGAACATTTTAAGGGTTAAGTAAGGCTTAATAGTAATTAGCTTTATAGTTTACCACATTTTTTGAATTAAAAAGTGGATGTAGTGAAACGTAGAAATTGAAAAATGGACAGCCATAATATCCTTTAAATATCTGCAAGTGGTGTCAGTAATGGAAACAATGATTCCCTACTATCTATCAAAGTAGGTGGGACATCCTTTCAAACCATTCTGGCCTATTATGGACATCCTTCCAAACCATTCTGGCCTATTATTTTATTGATAGGGATTTTACTGATGCTGAAGGTAGCTTGCTTACCAAGGCACCAACTTGAGAAGCTAGTTGTCAAAAAGGAGTAATGAGGAAGACAAGCCGATAAAGACCGTTTTTATCTCCCTCCACTCATTACAGCAGAACCAAACTTGTTTCTGTCTTTAATCTTGGCTTCTTTTGTTAGTCTTTCTGCATGCCCTTTGTTGTTAGAGATGGAAAGTGCAATTGGTAAAGCTGGTTTTATTAGGAAAGCAAGGAGGTCTTTCCAATACATTTCAAGTGGCAGAAGTTTGAACATACCTATACCCTCTTGCTTTAGTGGCTGCTGCTGGAGTTGTTGTGTTTGTGTGGCTTCAGTTGAAATTGTCGCCCACAAATAACTTTGTCTGAAGGGGATTTTTTTCTCAATTAAGAATACCCTCAACTGGATGAATTTACTGATTTCACAAAACTCTTGTGGTCACGACTTTTCTCTTTACTTTCTACGTTCCGGTGGATATGGATATGAATGAAAATTCAACAAACCATTTATTAGCTGTGATATAATATTACTTTGACCTGTGTTGTGTGCATGTTATTGCACATTTTTGCTTCCTGATAAGAGTATTATAGCCCAGTGATGTTTGTATGTCTATCAGCTTCAAAATGTTCATTATTGCCTTGTGCTTCTTATCAATAAGAGACAAGAAACTGTTAGGTGCATTTTTGCTAGTTTCTCTAGCAGTGCACCTTCTTTTTTTTGGTATAATGCTTTTAGTACATGTGTTTTTCCTGATTCAAGACTCTTATGCTTGTCTTTGGAAAGACAGAGTTGGTGAATATGCCTGTTCAGCCTATGTGACATTTAAAGATGCTTATGCCGTGCAAACAGCAGTCTTGCTTAGTGTAAGTTTTCTTCTGTACTTATCCCTTTTTCCCTGGTTCAGCTTAAGGCTACTTGCAAATCTTTGCCAGGAATTTTAGAATACTTGTTGGTAGCTACAGGATTTTCAGTGAGCGTACAATTCATTTTCCCAAGAACGAGAACGTGCAGTTTTGAAGTAGTGCTTAAACAGTGTTGACCTGAGCAAATGCTACTGATTTAAGGATCTGTAGAATCAGGGTTGGGAGCGGCCATTACTAACTGCAACAGTAAATGCTTTGATGTGAAATGCTTAGCTGTTCATACTCTGTATGTGTATAGTTATATATGTTTCCCCATAAATCTTCTGCAATATTGCAAAATGCTTAGCTGCTCATACTGTGAAATCTCTGAATGTTATATCTGTTCTTTTTTTTACTGCACATAGCCCGTTGAGTTGGCTATATTTAAAGCAAGTGTTGCCTTGCCGTTTGATACATACTCAAATTGGGCTGTCATTATTGATCCATCTTCTCTACCCTTAAAATTGAACAAATATTGAGCATAATAGTGAAACCATCTTACGTGGTGTCACTGGCCAATAAAAACTCGCAAATGGATTAAGTGGTCAATTCTTGTCGCCCACTAACCCAACAATGATGGTCTCTACGTCAAATCAACAATGCTCATTGGCTGATGATATCACCACGTGATATCACCATTACATCCAATATCTACTCGGTCGGGGCCTCTATTACCCAATCTAAATTAAATGCAGCTTATAACCTATCTTCAGAATCATGGCATTAATGATTCCCAGATCGACCCTTTTGGAACGTAAAAATGTTTCCCTTTTTTTTTTTTCATTAAGTAAAATTTTCATTTTGTTTAAATGTACTTTACATCTCAGGGAGCTACACTTTTGGATCAACACATCTGCATAACACCCTGGGGGCATTATGAAGATGAATTTGATTTTTGGAATCGGCCTTCATGGAAGATTGAAGATGAAACTGATTCAGCTGTATGCATCTTTCCTTTGTTTTGGTTGTTCTATTAAGTTGGTTTGATGCTAGATAGTCTCTTATTTTCGGAGTATTCATCATTCTAAGCTCTTTCTTTATCTTAACAGCCCTCACAAGGAGGCCAATTTGTTCCTTCTGCTGGAGAAGCAGTAACAATGGCTCAAGATGTAGTTAAAACCATGCTAGCCAAAGGATATGTACTGGGCAAAGATGCATTGAGCAAGGCCAAAGCTATTGATGAATCTCATCAGGTCTCCGCAACTGCAGTGGCCAAGGTTGCTGAACTGAGTGAGAGAATTGGGCTCACTGATAAGTTTTGTGCAGGGGTTGAAGCTGTCATGTCTGTGGATCAAAAGTACCACATTTCAGACACCACGAAATCAGCAGTATCAGCTACAGGGCGAACAGCTGTAGCAGCAGCAAACTCTGTGGTCAGCAGTAGTTACTTCTCTAAGGGAGCTCTTTGGGTATCGGATGCACTAACTCGGGCAGCGAAAGTTGCAGGTGATTTGGGTACTGGGACTGCTAAAAATGAGAAGCTGGCTTGACTCGAGTATAGGTTCTTGATCTTGATCTTGTCTTGTAGCATTAGCTTAAAGACAGTATATGTAGTTTTCTAATGTACATACAATCTTGTTACTAAAACCTAAGAGAGATGAATGAAACAAAGTTTTATGCAAATTTTGTGTAATGTTTGAGGAGCATGATGTCTTTTAAACTTTGGGTGCTCTTCAACTGGTGGCGGACTATTCCTCCACAGAGGAGTCACCATTTACATTGGCATAAATCTATGTACTTGGAATTTGTCAAGAAATTTACTCAGAAAATCAATGTGGTTCAGATTTAATTCTTGCGTGGTGGAGTTTGCACGGAGTTTGAATTTGGATCATATCACAGATTGATTTTTCTTGGTAAATTTTTTAATACAAATTGCAAGTATATAACATTGCTGGTTTTGTGCTGACATGATAATACAAATAGAAAGCATAGTGAATCGATTACTCTTTTGATCCTATCATATTCCTATTCTCTGCTTCAGTATAGTGCTATTGTCTATCAGGATATTATTGCGAGGGATATTGACACATGTTGCAGCTAGTTTAGTTTGTTTATTTACTTATTAGTCCCCGACGACGTATTCTTGAATCATGAGGTAGGCTTTACCAAAATGTGCGCATTTCTTAATGAGGTAGGCTCTACCAAAATGTGTGGTTTCACCTATGTGAGAGGATTATATCTGATTATGTCGAATTTTATGTACTTAGAAGAACTACCTATTTTTCCACTAGTGGTGACGGGCCAATGCAGGTCTAGTGGTGAGACTGAGATGGGGTGGATTAATTAGGTTCAACGTATTGATACTGCACCTGAAAAAAATAAATAGTAGATGACTATATATATTTTTTCACTGTCTTATTTAAATGAGTTAAAAAGAGATGAGTGTATTTTTGACGTGTTGTCTTATGTTATTTTACCAAAACAATTAGGAGTAATTATAAATTAGAAGTAAGAAACAAAAACATGGAAGTGCAAGTTGTACGTGCTTTGAACCACTATTGTTCACTTTCAAGGAGTCGATCATTATTAATTATAAAGATTTATTTTTTCTTTTGTAGTACGAGGTTTTATGTAACTCCATCAAGATTATTTAACAACTTTGTCGGTCTCACTAAAGGAGGAGGGTTATGTGTCAAGTAGTCGACAGTTAACACGTAAAAAATTGCTCAGATCTCTTATGAAATGAATCCTATTTTGAAAATAACCTTTGATAGAATTGAATAGATAAGAAAGATTCGTGTAGCCGACCTTGTTTGATGGACTCTAAGACTTGGTTTGGTTTGATTTAATAAGAATTTTTTTGTAGTTATTTCTTTCTTTCTTTCTTTCTTATTATAAGTTGTTTTTTTTTTTTTTTTTTTTTTTTTTTGTTTTTTTGGGGGGGATATAATAGTTGTTGATGTTGGACACGTGTATATGTTTGTTAGACTTTCTTACATAATTAATTGTTTAATTTGATGTAAGTCTCAAATTATTTATAAATATTTTTATATTGATGGATATAAAAAAAAAATGTAAGTATTTGTGTACTCTAGCCCCGTTTGGTGTAACTGTTAAAACAGATTATAGATTATAACTTAACAGATTATAGATTATGATTTTAATCAGAAGCTGTTAATCTATTTGGTGTAACTGTTAGATTATAGATTTAAATTGTTGAATAATGTTTGTTAAATAAGTTGTGAAGTAATTTTTTTAATTAATTTTTATTTTTTTGTTATTCACTACTTGTCTACATTTTACATAAAAAATAATAATAATAATCTATAATCTATTTGCGTCTTTTTCTATTTTTAAAAAAAAAAAAAATCTAAAACTATAACTGTAAATTAATATGTTCACAGCAGAAGTTGATAATCAGAAGTAAAGGGTGAGCAGTTCTTCAGAATCAGTTTTGAGTTAAAATAAGGTGTTAAAATTAGAAATTATTTGAAATAGATTTAACCGAATAATCCAAAATAACTTTTTTAAAGCTAAAAATTATAAATAAACTCAAAAAAAGCTAAACAAACACCCCCTCTATGTCCTTAATTGCACTTTTTTTTAGAAAAAGAAAGTCACGAGATTAGATTATTATTATTAATAGGCATTTGATGCTTCGTTATAAGCACAAAACCCGAACGTTCCTCATGAAAATCTAGGGGTACACGTGCTAATTTATATCTTCATATTTTTGTAGTTCCTGTTTTTTATTTTTTATTTTCATTGATTTGCAATTCCTCCAAACAACTATCAAGATATAGTGAGTTTATTTTCCTTCACTTGATGACTAATTTTGGTATTATTCAAGGGCGAGGATCTTCTAAAATAATTTTTTAAACAGGAGTTATTTGGGGTGTCTTAAATAAGTGTATTTTTTATCTTTTTGGATTAAAAAATAAAGGAAAAAAATATGAATGTTTGGGTTAACTTTTTGACTTTTTATGGAAAAATATGTATTAAAAAATTGTATAAATTAGTATGTAAGGAAAAATTAGGATTAAGAGTTGTGCAGTCGTAATTTTTGACTTTTGGCGAATAGTGATAACTTTTTAACTTTTTGAGTAACTTTTTAATTTTTTGACTTTTTGGCAACTTGCTAAACTTGGCCTTAATTCTGACCTTGTTTGTAAAGAGTGTTAGGTTAAAATAGTCTACTAAGGCCAAATTTGGAGAGTCTCAAAAAAACTAAAAATTCAAAAAGTTATTTAAAAAGTTAAAAAGTTATCACTATTCACCAAAAGTCAACAATTACGGCTGCACAATTCCTAATACTAATTTTTCCCTATACATTAATTTATACAATTTTTTAATACACATTTTTCCATAAAAAGTTAAAAATTTAACCCAAACATTCATATTTTCAACCTGGGCCTAGCTTTGGTCCAATCCACCATCAGATTAGACTGTGCTGTTGGGCCCGTGGGGGCCCACCACGGGTCCCATTTTGAAAATTTGAACCGTTCAATGCGTAGAACTCATCGAGTATTATATGTCTATGAAAAATCATGTTGATCGGATATCGATAGCTATGTGATCAAAACAGTTTTTTATCAACCGTTAATTTATTCACCGTCTATTTTTTTCATACAAAATTGATTTGATCACATAGCTATCGATATCCGATCAACATGATTTTTCACAGGCATATAGTACTCGACGAGTTCTACACATTGAACGGTTCAGATTTTCAAAATGAGACCCGTTGTGGACCTCCACGGCCCAACAGCACGGTCCAGTCCGATGGCGGACTGGACCAAAGCCAGACCCTTTCAACCTTAACTTTTTAGTCTAAAAAGATAAAAAAGTACATTTATTTAGGACACCTCAAACAACCCCTAAAAGATAAAATAGGTTAAAATAGTTAATAAAAAAATTACTCTAAGATAATTTTAGAAAAAGTCAGCCTAAAAATTCGGACTTGTTATAAAAACTTGCATTATGCTAATTTATTATTTGCCAAATCTTATTTTGGAAAATGTTTGGTAGCTCAAATTTTTGTGGCTCAAATGGCTCAAATCTGTCAAAACGACGTCGTTTTACGCTCAAAATCTGTCAAAACGACGTCGTTTTGACAGATTTGAGCCATTTGAGCCACAAAAATTTGAGCTACCTAGCATTGTCGTCTTATTTTTATGAGATTAAATGACAAGGAAGAAGGTAGTTTAAGAGAATTTTGTTTGTCACTGTGTTATACCATTTTGAGTAAATTACATTTTGAAAAATGATTGGGAGTTCTAATTGAGCATCCTTAATTCACAAAAAATTATTGGTTGGTCTAGAGACACCTTGTGACTATTTCCCTAGCTAACCATAACCCACATGTTCCCTCATGTTCCCCAATCACACAACATAAAATTATGGAACACACACTTCCACTAATCAGAACACATCTGGGACACCACGTGACTGTGCCCTCTGACCAATGAATAACTTCTCCCAATACACCCCCCCAATAACATGAAATAGACCATGTACAAAGAAGGACCCACACTCCTCATCCATCCTCTCTTCGTTCCCTCTCTCTTCCACCTTATTAGAAATCAAAATGAAAGTAATGTTGTTAATGTATATATGGTATATATTTCTACATATATTAGGTATTGATTTCTTAGATATATAAAGTATTGCCATAGTAAGGTCTCTTATAGGATACTCTTTCTCATAGTTAGATTTCTAGTATGATACTCTTTCTCAGCCTATATATATAGGCCTTCTATTGTATAGGACAATTCATTCAATACAATACATATTATTTTCTCTCTCGCTCTCTCTCTATGATTTTAACATGATATCAGAGCTAGGTTAAGTACCTAGTAATTTCATTTCACCGGCAAGCAGTAGCCTTGCCTTAGTCGCCTGCCAAACCTCAACCTATTCCGCTGTCATATTTCCCTGCCAGTATCGCTTCGTGGTGATCTCTTTCTTTGTCCGCTGGTTTATTCCTACCCCAATTATCTCTATCATTTTTTTTATTTTTTTTTTTACTCACAATCCATTTGTTTTTTCACTCTGTCTTTCTCTCTGCTTCAACCTCATATAGGTTTCTATCTTCAAACCTATTTGTGTTTGAGGGGGGTATTATATCTATATCATGGTGAACACGGTCATACATCATGTAAACCACCTAAGCCATCCTCTGTGGCTGATATCATGGTGAACATGGTTATACACTATGTAAACCACCTTAGCCGTCCCATGTGGCGCGCAACTCAAGCCGCCTTCTATGGCGCACCACACAAGTCGCTCCTTGCACACCATCCAAGCCGACTCAGTTATTTGTTGCCATCATCGTTCAACACCACGTCATAAGTTATGTGTGTGTCACGCTTGTTGATTCAATATCCAGTTCTCTACATCGGTCCGCATAAACCCTTTTAAACTGTCCTGATATTGATTCCGATTAACCAATCTCTACAACCCCATAAACTGTCTGCCGGTATTAGCTTCGGCCTCTAATCTCGGCATTAGTTTTAGCCAGTTTCTATATCAGTCCGGCAAGACCTTAAACTGTCCTGGCATTAGTTTCAGCCAATTCCTACAATGGTCCGACACGACCATAAACTATCTCCTGGCATTAGTTTCAACATCTGATCTATTTCAAGCGCCCTTGCGCTCTCGTTTGGATTTTATAATTTATTTGC